TTGTTTTCGATCCGCAAAAGTATTCATAATTGGCAGTATTTTTTTTGCCTGAATCTATTAGTTTTAAAACATATATCGAGGGCAAAAATGGTATCATATTCTTGTGGATTTTTGAACACCCTATCCTGAAGGGATTGAACGTGATTAGCCATAGGTGGCAACCTATGGTAAAAGGTGCGATTTTGTTTTCCGACGCTGGAGGCGTCGAACTACTACATTCAAGAAAAAAGAGAAACACTATGATAAAGGTAGATTCTAAACCTTTCTAAAATTTTCGAAATTTGATGAGAAAAACCGCTTCATAAAATAGCACAATATTGTACAGCCTGGGTTGACACCTAGGCTGTACAATATGCCTATAAAAAGGTGAAGTAGAAAATGTAAGCAAAAATGGAGAAATAAGCGAATGTATATTGTTTAAAGCCGCTGAAGGTGTCGAACAATTTATTTGGGTGATTGTAATACTATAAATACTTGGCGGCGTTCGCATCGCAATCGTAAATCGAAGCAATCGTAAATCGAAACAATCGTACATCGAGAAGCGTGAGGGATAGAAGCGGAAATAGCTCTTTTTGTGCCTTTTTCCTAAAATTTACCCGTAAAACTAAGCCATTGCCGTGCAACATCTCTAGCCGAACCACCAAAGCGCGAAGACAAAAAAGGCGCAAAAAGCGCTATTGCAGCGGATAGCCCGACCTCGAAACCGCCCCACTGTACCCTCCAAAATACCCGATTCACCCAAGGGCGGTTTTCGAGGACACGCCATTAGTAATACAAATACGAAGAGTTAATACAGAATTAACATGCAAAAATGAGTGGTTGGCATCAAACTGTCTTATTTTTGCATCAAAATAATACTTACTATGGGGAATAACGATACTGGAAAGAAGATTTTGATTGTAGATGACGAGCCGGATATCATTGAGTTTTTGCGGTACAATCTGAAAAAGGAAGGTTATGTGGTAGTTAGTGCCGGCGACGGACAGCAAGCGCTGGCTGTGGCAAAGTCCGAAAAGCCCGATTTGATACTTTTGGATATCATGATGCCGCTTATGGATGGCATAGAAACCTGTAGGGCATTGCGTAGCACAGTCGGTTTTGAGACAGTTCCGATTGCTTTTTTGACTGCGCGCGATGAAGATTTTACGCAAATAACTGCGTTGGATGTAGGCGGAGATGATTATATTACCAAACCAATAAAACCTAGAGTCCTCATAAGCCGTATAAATGCCTTGATGAGGCGGTCGTTGGTAGTGGACACCGAATCAACAAATATCATAAAAGTAAATGATATACTTATCGATAAGAATCAGGTACTTGTATTTCGAGGGGAAGAGACCATCGAATTTCCAAAAAAGGAGTTTGAAATACTTTATCTGTTGGCATCGAAGCCGGGTAGAGTGTTCACTCGCGATGAAATATTCGATAAAGTATGGGGCGGCGATGTGATAGTGGGTCAGCGCACGATCGATGTTCACATCAGGAAATTGCGAGAAAAGTTAGGAGATGACTACATCAAAACCATGAAAGGTATTGGCTATAAACTGGAGTTTTAATGAGTTTTTTGCGTTCATTTAAGAACCAGACACCAAGAGGTTTGTCGTTAATGGCAGCGAGCACATCAGCACTGTTGGTGGGACTCCTGCTATTGCTATTGAAGTGGATTGGGTGGGTTACCATCTCTTATGGCGGGTTTGCATTTGTTATGATATCCTTTTTGGCGATTGATTATATTTCCAATTATTTTTACATCAGACACTACATTTATCGAAAGATAAAATTGATATACAAAGTGATTCACCGTCATAAGCATGGTGATGATTTAAAGGAGGAGAAGCTCGATATGAGCGCCGATGTACTCAAGACCATAGAACAAGAAGTGAAAGCTTGGGCACTCGAAAGTGCTGAGGATATGGAAAAATTGGAGGCATTGGCTACCTATCGCCGCCGATTTTTGGGTGATGTATCGCACGAGCTGAAGACTCCCATTTTCAATATACAAGGTTTTTTACACACGCTTTTGGATGGTGCCATTGACGACCCTGAGGTAAATATGAACTATCTGATGCGCGCCTCCAAAAATGTGGAGCGTCTGCAAGCTATTGTAGAAGATTTGGAAACCATCAACAAACTCGAAAGCGGACAGATGGTTTTGGATGAAAATGAATTTAACCTTAAAAATCTCGTGGAGGAGGTTTTTCTGGATTTGGAGATGCGCGCCAAGGAAAAATCCGTCACCTTGAAGTTTAAGGAAGGCGCAGCCTCTTCCTACCAAGTGATCGCCGACAAAGAAAGTATCCGGCAAGTTTTGCTCAACCTCGTACACAACTCCATCAAATATGGCAAAGAAGGCGGCACCACCAAGGTCAGCTTTTATGATATGGCCAACGCCGTGCTTGTGGAAGTAAGTGACAATGGCATTGGTATCGGAGAAGATCATTTGGATCACGTATTTGATCGGTTTTATCGTATCGACAAAAGTCGCTCGCGCGATGCCGGAGGCACCGGACTCGGACTTTCTATCGTGAAGCATATCATCGAAGCCCATGACCAAACCATCACGGTGCGCAGTACAAAAGGCAGTGGGTCAACCTTTGGCTTCACCTTGGCTAAAGCATCATGAAAAAAAAGCTAAAAAAGTTTCAGTTTTACAAATATTAGCGTATCTTTGCGCCTTCTAAACCTGATGGATAGTAAAATTTTGCCGTTTTACCTCTGAAATTTGGATTTGGGCTTACATAAATAAAAATTTATCTTACAATGGCAGTGTATTACAGCTCAGAAAAGGTGAACGAAATCGTAGCAAAATACGGTGGAGCAGACCAAAACACAGGCGCTACAGCAGCGCAAATCGCATTGATGACTTATCGTATTGAGAGTTTGTCATCACATCTTCGCACTTTCAAGAAAGACCACAGCTCACGCCGTGCGCTTCTTGCTCTTGTAGGTCAGCGTCGCAGTCTTTTAAATTATTATGCGAAAAAAGACATTTTCAAATACCGTGCTTTGATTGAGCAACTTGGTATTCGTAAATAAATTGTGGGCACTTCGCATTGAAGTGCAACAAAAAAACAGGGAGGCAGTAAACAAAAAACTTAAGGAGTTAACACTTTGAGTTTTTGTTTATTGCCTTTTTTAGTAAATGTTCTATTTTATTATCCGTTCTCCTTTGCAGTCGTTTATGCAATAAGATCCGACCAAAAATGGAAACTTCATCACGCTTCGCCATGCACGCTCTTACGTGGGCGTACAATTTAAGGTGGTAATCTGTATGTTTGATTCAAATTAGGGGAGTATATTTCCCCACACAAAGACTCCGGTCAATGCTTGTTCCCGGTACCTTTGTGTGTCTTCACAGGTTTTTGAATCCACAGCTACCCCATATTTTCCAAGGCAACCAGTCCGTGAAGAAGTTCCATGTAAAGGAAAGCACAAATCTATTCTTTTTTATGGGTAAGAAAATCCCTACCACCACCTCATTTCATCTGCCGGATGGAAGAGAAGTTGTACTTGAAACCGGCAAACTCGCTACCCTTTGCGATGGTAGTGTAGTAGTCCGCATGGGTAAAACCATGTTATTAGCAACTGCCGTTTCTGTCAAAGAAGCAAAGCCAGGACAAGCTTTTTTCCCGCTTTCTGTTGATTATCAGGAGAAGTATGGCGCTGTTGGACGTGTTCCGGGTAACTTTTTTCGCCGCGAAACACGCCTCAACGATTACGAAGTACTCATTTCACGCCTAGTAGATAGAGCTTTGCGTCCTCTGTTTCCCGATGGTTATATGAATGAAACCCAAGTCATCATTTCGCTCATTTCTGCCGATAAAGACGATATGCCCGATGCTTTGGCAGGTTTGGCAGCTTCAGCAGCTATTGCAGTGAGCGATATTCCTGTAGAAGCATTGTTCTCTGAAGTGCGCGTGGCGCGTATCAACGGACAATTTGTGGTCAACCCTACGCGTAAAGCTTTAGAAAAAGCGGATATGGACTTTATTGTGGCTGCCACCATGCGCGATGTCACTATGGTAGAAGGAGAAGCAAACGAGTGCCAAGAGCACGAAATGGTGGAAGCTATCAAGATAGCGCACGAAGCCATAAAAGTACAGATTGCAGCGCAAGCGAAACTTGCCGAACTTGTAGGCGACAAAGCCATCAAGAGAGCCGTAACTCCTTTGCCGGAGCACGAAGAATTGAAGGCGCGCATCAAAGCTATTTCTGGCGATACCATCAAAGCCATTGCCTCCAAAACAACCAGTAAAGACGAGCGCAAATCGGAGCTTGATGCAGCTAAAAAAGCTTGTAAAGAGCAGTTGGCTACCGAATACGACGAGGCTTTCTTCGCAGAATGGGGCGAAACTTTTGGCCGTTATTTCGATAAAATCAAGAAAGATATTATCAGAAATGTGGTGCTCGATACCGGTACCCGCCTAGACGGACGTAAAGTGAACCAAATAAGACCTATTTGGACGGAAGTAGATTACCTGCCTGCTGCACATGGCTCAGCCATTTTTACGCGCGGTGAAACGCAATCGCTCACTACGCTTACCTTGGGTACCAAGCAAGACCAGATGTTGGTGGATACTGCTATGGCTTACTACGATGAAAAATTCATTTTGCACTATAATTTCCCTTCTTTCTCTACGGGCGAAGTGAAACCTTCAAGGGGTCCGGGTCGGCGTGAGATCGGTCACGCCAACTTGGCAGCCCGCTCGCTTCGCAAAATGCTTCCTAAAGATGGTTTTGAATACACTATTCGAGTAGTTTCTGATATTTTGGAGAGCAACGGTAGCTCTTCTATGGCTACGGTTTGTGCAGGTTCTATGGCAATGATGGATGGTGGTGTGCCGCTAAAGGCACCGGTAGCCGGTATCGCCATGGGTTGTATTGCTGAAGGAGACAAAATTGCAGTACTTTCTGACATTCTTGGCGACGAAGATGCTTTGGGTGATATGGACTTCAAACTCACCGGTACCTCAAAAGGTATCTGTGGTGCTCAGATGGACATCAAAATAGATGGTATGCCTTACGAATTGCTCGAAAAAGCGCTCGCACAGGCACGCGAAGGTCGTATGCATATATTAGGTTGTATGGCTGAAACTATATCGGTGCCGGCTTCTGAGCTCAAAGAGCACGCTCCACGTATGGTCGTTCTCCGCATAGCTGCCGAATATATTGGTGCTGTAATCGGACCGGGTGGCAAAATCATCCAAGAAATGCAAAAATCTACCGGAACGGTTATCTCTATTGAGGAGGACGAATTGGGTGGTAAAGTATCTATCTACGGACCGGATAAAGTTTCCATCGATGCGGCAATGGATCGCGTGAACGATATCACTTTCACACCTGAAGTGGGTGGCGAATATGATGGCGTAGTGGAAACCTTGCAGCCTTATGGTGCTTTCTTGAAGTTTAAAGGCAAAAGCGGTCTTTTGCACGTTTCTGAAATCAGCTACAAACGCATCGAAAACGTAGAAGATGTGCTCAAAGTGGGCGATACCATCCGCGTGAAACTCTTAGATGCCGATCCAAAAACCGGCAAATTGCGCCTTTCAGCCAAGGCTTTACTCCCCAAACCGGAAGGTTATGTGGAGCGCGAAGACCGTGGCGCAGAGCGTAGAGGCGGCGGCGGCGATCGTGGCGGCAATGACCGAGGTGGCGACCGTCGTGATGGCGGTGGCGGCGGTAATCGTGGCGGCGGCGGTTTCAGAAGATAAGTACGCAATTCACACCTTGCTTCGTTACTAATAGGGAGTGCAATCAGCTTGTAAGCAATGAGTATCAGATAAAAGTGCGCTTTTATTGAATGCTCATTCGTGAAGTTGGTTGCACTCTTTTTTTGGACTGATTCAGTGATAATTGCAGAAAGTTGGGCGTGCCCCAAAAACTGCCCTTTGGGTTTTTCGGTAAGCTTAGTCTGTCCGGAAGGGCAGTTTTGGGTCGGGCTATCCGCTGCAATAGCCCTTTTTGTGCCTTTTTTGGGCGCTGCTTTTAGGTTGTCGGAGACGTTGTAGTGTGAAGTATCTACAAAGTTTTATCGATTATTTTAGAAAAAAAGACACAAAAAGTGCTATTTCCGCTTCTATCCCTCACGCGGTGCGTAAGGGATAGCAATGGAAATAGCCATTAAAAAGCGCCTAACTGCAATGTAAAGGCTTAGCGGAAAACCCAAAGGCGCTTTTTATTGGCTATTGGAATGGATAGCCCGACCCTGGCAGCCCCGCTAGTTGGACAAACTACCCACAATCCCTAAGGGCTGCCGGGGATACGCCATAATTATAAAATTGGGGTTTTGATTAGAGTTGGAAAGCAAAGAAAATACTATGACAAAAAGTTGAGAAATATATTTACCTTTGCTACCCGTGACTTATTACATTTGTTATTTTGTTAACGTAAAAGATATATGAATACAAGACTAGAACGCCTACTTGCCTTGCATGAGGAAGATTCCAAGAGCACTTTTACGCTTTTTGCACTGGCAAAAGAGTATGAAAAATCGGAAAATTTGGCGCGTGCTCGTCATTTCTATCAATTGTTGGAGGCAGTTGATGAAAACTATGTAGGTTTGTACTATCATCTTGGCAAATTGAATGTAAAGCTTGGAGAAATAGACGAAGCCATTCGGGTCTATAAAAAGGGAATTGCAGTAGCTCAAGCGTTGGGTGATCGCCACGCATGGAGTGAGTTGGCTACGGCAAAACTCGAAGTTGACGATGAGTAGCCACCCCAAAATGCCTGTGATAATATTAGTTTTTAGGCTATTACACGGAGTACTAGTCTATATTCAAAGAAAATTATTGTTATGCGAATTGAAGTCATCAATACCGGTTTTTTAAAGCTAGACGGAGGAGCGATGTTTGGTGTTGTTCCGAAAGGCATGTGGGAAAAACTCAATCCTCCCGATGATAATAATAAATGCACTTGGGCAATGCGCTGTCTTTTCATTGATACAGGAAAGCGGAAAATAATCATTGATACCGGCATAGGAAACAAGCAGGATGCAAAATTTCATTCTCATTTTGAGCCGCATGGCAAAGATAGTTTGGTTGGTTCGCTCGCTGCTTTGGGTGTTGCACCCGAGGAAATCACCGATGTGTTGTTTACGCATTTGCATTTTGATCATTGTGGCGGCGGTATTCTGCTTGGTGCGGATGGCAACCTTCGGCTCACCTTTCCCAATGCCACCTATTGGACCAATTTGCGGCACTATATGTGGGCTACCAATCCCAATGAACGTGAAAAAGCATCGTTTCTCAAAGAAAATTGGGAACTTATCCAGAAAATGAAGCAAATGCAGTTTGTGGATATTCGGCAGGATTTTGCTTTCGATAAAGAAATCAACATCAGATTTTACAATGGGCATACAGAAGCTATGATGGTGCCCATCATAAAAACGCCTCAAGGTAACATCATATATTGTGCAGATACTATGCCTTCGCGTTGGCACGTGCCCATGCCTTATGTGTTGGCGTATGATGTGCGTCCCTTAGTGACGTTGCAAGAAAAGGACGCCATTCTCAAAGATGCACTACAGAACAATTATACGCTATTCTTTGAGCATGACCCCACGGTGGCATGTTGCAAATTGCACTATGATAAAAATAAGGATAGAATTGCGGTAGGGCAGACAGGCGATCTTACAGATTTCTATCAATTCTAGTCATTTAATATTGCTCATATTGTTGTTGAGCACTTATCTTTTCACGCTGAATAAATGTCCTGACCATGTTAAATGTTAAGTTGTACTCCGCTGAAACTATGAAAATCACAATTTTGTGCCTTTTTTCTTTGTTTTTTGGGGGCAGTTGCGTCTCTTTGAGTCGTTATAAAAAGGTGAAGGAGGCTAAAAACTCAGTTGAAATACAGAATGCCATGTTGTTTAAGGAACTATCAGAGCGGAAGCATGAGCAGGAAAGTCTGCTCAATAGATTGGAAAATGCTAGCAAAACCAATGGACGGCTTGAGCTTGAACTTGCCAATGTTACCACTGAGCTCACCAATACTTCTAAAATGTTGGGCGAATCTTCTACAAAACTCTTGGAGGAAAACCGCAATATTGCCCAGCAACTTACCCTTATAAAAAACGACAACGAGAAGAAAAGCATGGTGCTCAATAGCATCAGAGCAGTGCAAGCCAATGCCCACGAGGCTTTGTACAATTGCCAACAAGAGTTGTCGGATGTAATGTTTGGTTGGCTCAATAGGGGAGTGACCATCGAACAAATGCGCGATCATGTGCGCATCACTTTGCCCGATCAACTTATTTTTGACCAATCCGGCAACAATGTCAACATAAATGGCTCAGCCATTTTGAGCCTGCTATCGAAGTATCTTTTGGAAAAACCAGCCATACAGGTGAGGGTGGTGGGGCACACTGATAATACTTTCCCAACCAATAGGGCTTTAAAAGACACTTGGGAATGGAGTATGCAGAAGTCTATAGGCATTATCCGCACCATGATACGCGATTACAACATCAACACCAACCAACTTACGCCCATTGGCCAAGGTGAATTTCGCCCTATCGCTTCCAATGCCGACCCCGAAGGTAGGAGTAAAAATCGCCGTATGGAGCTGTTGTTTTACCTCCCGGGCAACGAGTATCCGGATATTTCAGACTTGAAACAATGACACCTATCCTGCCAGTCTGGGCGAGAAGTGCCGTGCTCTATGAGATAAATGTGCGCCAATTCTCTCCGGAAGGCAATATCAAGGCTGTGGAGCATCAGTTGCCGCGTCTACAGGCGCTTGGCGTAGATGTGCTTTGGTTGATGCCTATTTTTCCAATCGGCATGGAAAACCGCAAAGGCAGCCTTGGCAGCCCGTATGCTGTGCGCGATTACTTGACCGTTCATCCCGATCTAGGCAATATCCACGATTTGAAAAGCCTAGTAGCCCTTGCTCATGACATTGGCATGCGCCTCATACTCGATTGGGTACCCAACCATACCGCGTGGGATCATGTGTGGGTGGAGGCTCACCCGGAATTTTACACCAAAATTGACGGCAAAATGACGGTGCCGCTCAACGAACATGGCGAGCAAATCCACGATTGGTCGGATGTCTGCGACCTCAACTACGCCAACCCGGCGTTGCGCAAAGCCATGGTAGAAGCTATGCTTTTTTGGGTGAAAACTTGTGATATTGATGGTTTTCGGGTAGATATGAGCGGGCTTGTGCCCAATGATTTTTGGGAAGAAGCCCACTCAAAATTGCAATCCATGAAGCCGCTTTTCATGCTCAGCGAATGGCAAGACGAACCAAAACACTTCAATTCCTGTTTTCATGTCAATTACGGATGGCGCTTCAAGGATGTTACCAAACACATTGCCCAAGGTGAAGCAGATGCCGATGCGCTCGATGCCTTGCTCCGGTCTTTGCAAGATTACTATCCACCACACTATGAGCAGTTATATTTCACCCAAAACCACGATGAAAACGCATGGTCGGGCTCCGAATTGGAGCTATATGGCTCCGCTGCCGATATCATGAATGTACTCGTTTTCACTTGGCAAGGTATGCCGATGATTTACAACGGTCAAGAGGATAGTTTATCCCAACGCCTCGCATTTTTCGATAAGGATCCAATTGTTTGGAAAGACTTCGAGCGTGTGCATTTCTTTCAAAAATTGACCCAATTGCGCCGAGAAAACCCTGCGCTCGCTACCGGTTTTGCCGACAATAAGCCCATACGGTTGCCTCATAATAACCCAAATATCTATTGTTTTTATCGACAAAGCGGTCAAAATACGGTGATTGTACTGCTCAACCTAAGTAGCTCGGCGCAGTGGCTCGATTTGCAACTACCTATTGGCTTGGCAGGCGAATATATAGATCATTTCGCCAATGCTTTGGTGCAAGTGAAAAGTCCTTTTTCAACCGAAATGCAGCCTTATGGTTGGCTGGTATTTACAAAATCGAATGGTAGGTGATGTACATACAAAAAAGCGCCAGAAAGCAAAATACCTTAATATTGCAACTTTTACGACCAAATTTTATAATTTTTGGGACAATTTTAATAAATTATGTACTTTTACCAATTATTTTACCAATTCTAATTTTATGAAAACTACAACTTTTTATTGCTTAGCTTTATTTTTAGTCCTTTTTGGCGCCATGCCAACTGCAGCGTCCGCGCAATCGGGCAAAGGATACGTAATTCCAATGAGTGCCTATGATTATTATGCAACAGATTCGGTCACATTCTATTACAATTATTCCTATGCATTAAGCACTGCGGTGGAATGTATAGCATCGGAATCGGCGGAGCGCGAGAAACAGTTGAGTTTGGAGCAAAAGGCTTTGGTAAATCTGGTAAGATCCAACGCTGAAGGAGAGGGCAATACGGGAGTGCTTGGCATAGTTTCTAATCCTAAAGTGAATAAGGAGGAACTTTTGGCTGGGTTGCGAGCCTTGGGCGCATTGGAAATGGCCACCTTTCTGCAAGGCATAGAAAATATCACCACTCCAATATTGAAGGCTATAGAGGCAGGCGCCGAGACCAATATGGAGGAATTGTACAGGCTCGATTCTATGTTCTACGAATATCAAACTCGCGAAATCGGCAATTTTTACCGATATATTCGCAGCTCCAATCTTGTCGTCAATCCCGAAGGCAAGCCTTTCGATAACAAATTTTCCGGTTTTTACAAGGTAATGACCCCCGCCGGCAAGATTGCCGAGACTATACGTGTGCGCGAAGGCGCCTTCGATGGCATGGCGAAGGTGTATAATCCCAATAATACTTTGTTGTCTGAAGAAAATGCAGATAAAGATATGACAATTCGAATATCTTATTCCGAAAAGGGTAAGCCAATTTCTACTGATACCACATTTTTAAAAGACAATAGCACGCATTCCACAGCGCATTACCCAAGCGGAAAATTGAGCTCGAGGTATGTTTCTCGCCCGGAAAGTGAGTATTTCAAAGAGTGGTCGTATTACGAAAGCGGTAAGTTGGCCTACGTAAAAGAAGGCGAAAAGTACCTGGAAGCATACGACGAACAAGGCAATTCTACGCTACAAAACGGCTCCGGTTCTTTTACACAGATTTCTATGGATCCATTGACCAATTCGGTGTATAAAACAGTAGCCGAACTTAAAAATAATGCTTTGAATGGCAGTTACAAAAGTTATGTAGATGGCAAATTGGCCTATGAGTCCACCTATAAGAATGGTCAGGTAGTGGGCAAAACCTACACATACCACCCATTGAATGGCAAAAAGCTCAACGAATACACCTACACCGATCAAGGCGAGTATGTGGAAGATGGATTTAAGGAGTACTTAGAAAATTATCCAAGCATAAAAGAGGCAAAAATAAAAGTTACGCCTAGTTTTGTGACCAATTTTGCTTGTATGAACATGCCATCACAGCAAAATGGCTTCATAGCACCGGCTTGCAAGAACGCAAAATTGCTCGAAACAGCACTCAAAGCAAACCCTAAGGCTTTGTTTGGAGAATCGGATGTGCTTCCTGAAATGAACAGCAACATGTACTACCAGCAATTGCTGATTTCTACAGATGGCAAAGTGACTCCCATTGGTTTCATGTCAGACGAAGAGACGGGCAAGATTTTCCGCCAACTTGAGTTCTCTCCGGCAACTTTCAATGGCAAGGCAATACCTAGCGTAGTCGATGTAAATTATATGGTGCGCTATTATTAGCCCAACCATTATTGAGTTACAAGTACGTAGCACCACTTTTTCCTATTTTTTCTATATGGCGTACCCCCACCAGCCCTTTTACTTTTTTGGGTAGCTTAGTGCTACCAGTAGGGCTGGTGGGGTCGGGCTATCCATTACAATAGCCATAAAAAAGTGCCTCTGGGCGTGCGGAAAATTTTTACCGTACAACTAGTCACTTTTTTATGGCTATTTTCATTCCTATCCCTTACGCGGCACGCCCAAGGTTTAGTAGGCTATCTTGAGGGTTTTGCCTTGCACAAAAACACCTTCCGAAAAACTAACTACCAGCTGATTATCGTCGCTTATTTTTGAGCCATCTCGCAGGATGGTTTTGTTTTTAAGAATCGTTTTAGTGGTCTCATAGAGCACCATTTGCACTTCAGCCATGCTTCTCGAAGAAGATACAATTTCCATTTCATTCAGCCCAAATGTCTGCAAACCATAAGTAAATCCGGAGTTTTTATCATTTTCACTACTCATACCGAAGTAGACCCAAAGATAAAGCGGCAGTTCGTCATTGATAAGGTTTTTGGACAACTCTCTATAATACCCGGAGGCAATTACTAGGTAACGACTCTCTTCCATCACCCCAATAGATGCAGTTTGCTCCAATAAAGTTGCAATGGCTTTGGTCATCAGCGTTTGTTGATCGTACAGGTCACCTTCGCTAGCGGTCATTTCTACCTTTAGATAAGCAGTATGTTGGGCTATTTCGGCACTAGCATTTTGCCACAACCACGAGATGCCCGCATAAGATTTCCATTCGCTTGCTGGCAGTTTGCTGCGCACAAGTTGTATTTTGATTGTATTTTTGGGGCTCGATAATACCATTTGGTCATCGTTTGACATAGTGGCAGTCATAGTAAGGTTCCAAGCTTTTTGAAGGCTTTTTTGCAAAGTAATGGCACTTGGTAGCCTATCTTCCTTGAGAAAGACTATAGTTGTCAGGTTTTGTAAGTCAGTAGTTGTATAAGCTTTAGCTTGTGGTACAAACCATAATAAATGTAGGCACAAGGCTATAATAACGTGTTTCATGCGAAATTGATTTTATTTTTAATGTGAAACTAAAAGTCACCGAAAAATACATAACGTATTGTTTCGGTGACTTGTTGGTTTTTGGGTATCTATTAACGCTTGGTTAGTATTTGAGCCTAAATAAAGTTAGCGCAATAGTGCCACTTCACCCTTTTTTTCCTCAGTAGTTCCGTTAGCATATTTCAACTTTATGATATAGTAATACATATCTGTAGGTGCATCAGAACCATTTATCTTGCCATCCCAAGCCTGCTCACTAGCACTATCATCAAATGCTATGCCACCCCAACGATAGAATACCTTGAAATCTACCACAGTGATATTCGGATCATCATTGATGTAGATGAAGGTGTTGTTCACATCGTCGCCATTAGGCGAAAAAGCATTAGGCACCTCGAAGCAATTTTCGAACTTCACATCCTTAGTGTTAGAGGTACTTGTGCATCCATTCTGCGTTGCTGTAGCAATATATGCGGATGTATCTCCAATAACTGCAGTGGTGTTAAAAGTGATCGTACTGCCCGTTTGGGAAAGTGCAGTACCATTCTCTGTCCAAGTCACCGTTGCATCGCTTGGAGTAACTTCCACGCTTAAGGTAAGTACAGCACCTACGCATATTTCACCTTCCGGAACTACTGTTATAGGGGAAATTGTCGGTTTTGGATCTACATTCACGGTCACTTGGTCGCTTGTGGTACAGCCCGGTCCGTAAGACAAAGTAACTGTATAGGTGGTTGTATCACTAGGTCTATCCGTAGCATTTGCACTATTGCCTCCGTTCTCTGGAGTTGGGCTCCAAACATAGCTTGTTACACCGGTATTGCCTGTCGTAGTGGCCGTCAAGTTGACAGATAAGCCTGAACATATTGTCACAGGGTTACCTGCATCGATAGTAGCATTTCTGACCTCTATTTTCACGCTATCAGTCTTCGTACAGCCGTCAATGGCAGCTGTTAAGACATAGGTAGCTGTTGCGTTCGGGGTCACAGTTGGGTTGGCTGTCGTCGAAGTAAATCCGCCAGTTCCTGTCCAGCTGTAGGTGACACTTGGATTCACCGGCACATTATTGAGCAAGACCGATGTTCCTGCGCCTTCACACACCTCTGATATGGAAGTCAGATTGAATGCAGGTGTTTCGTTCACCGTTACGGTAAATGACCCTTGTGCCGGGCACGGAGCCTCATCTTTCGTTTTATATGTATAGGTAGTGGTCACCGTAGGGTTAGCTATTGGGTTCGGACAATCTGTACACGACAATCCCGGCGCAGATTCCCACTCCATCGGGTAAGAATTTGGCGTGGCGGTTGCGTTTAGTTGAGAAGATTCACCCGAACATATACTTGGATCGCCGGTGATGTTTACTTCTACAATGTCACCTACAGTTACCACCACTTCTGAAGTGTCAGAACATCCTCTATTTTGCAGAACTCTTTGATAAGTATGAGTCGTAGTAGCTATAATGTAAAGATTCCATAGACTATCCGGTGTCAGTTGTGTGCCAAATGGCAACCACTGTGTATCGAAAGCAGGGAAACTGGAAGGCTGGTAGGTAGTTGACTTCAATAAGATCGTGTCGCCAGGGCAATATACCGGCTTTTCAGGCACAAGCGAAATCAGGTGATTGGGCAAAGAATCCACTCTGATGAATACCGAATCTTTCAAGTTGCAACCATTCACACTATAACTGCTAAATAGCCAAACTGACTCATCCGGTGTAGACGATACATTATTGCCGGTAGTTGGTGACACTGCCCAGTTGGGCGTCCATATCACGTTGCTACCACCGCCTGGAGTGCTTACAGCAGTCAGGGGTACTGTCTCACCTAGGCATATTTGTATTTCATCATTGCCCACAATATCCAAATCGGCAGCAACTACATTTAATATGATCTGACTAGTGCTAGAGCATATACCATTGGCGCTTGTAGATACTAAAGTATAAGTAGTGCTCACATCGGGCAATGCGATAGGATTGGAGACTGACGGGTCGTTCAAGCCGGCTGCCGGTGACCATGTATAGATTGTGCTTTCCAATACCTCATTGGCCAATACTACCGGATAGTTCTGACAAACTGTTGTATCAGTGCTGGTAAGTGTTGGCGCAAAGAGCGTATCTACTGTCACCAATATCGTATCAGAAACGGAACATCCCGCCACCGTTACAGAGGCAGTATAGACGGTCGTTACTGAAGGGCTTGCCGTTGGGTTCGATAGTGTTGCATTGTTTAGACCGGTTATTGGAGACCATATCAATCCTTCTCCATTCACATTGTTGGAGCTAGTTAGTTGTACAGAGCCGCCTACGCACATATTGGGGTTGGTAGATGCCACACTTATTGCAGGTGCTATAATGTGTATCTGAACAGTATCTTTATCAACACAGGCACCTACATTTCCTGTTACTACAAGTTGTAGATCCTGCGTTGGTGTTATGGTTGGGTTAGCAATTACTGCATTGCTCACAGCTCCCGGAGGGCTCCAGAAATAATCCTCAGCTCCTTCAGCGCTTAGTTGCAATGTACCTCCTGCGCACACCAAAAGTGTATCTTGTTCGTTGTTTACTTCCACCAAAAGATTGTCTCTGATGAGGAAAACAAGCGTTTTGTAAGTGACATCGCCACAACCAAAGTTGTTTTTCAAGGATATAATCACCGATTCTTCGCCTTCCACCAATAAGTCGCTAATCACCGCTAGCGGAAAACTGATTTCAGTTTGGCCGGGAGCAAAAGTAATTGTTGGAGGAATCGTCATGGTGTAATCCACCATTGGGGTAGCACTACCGGTTACTTCAACGATATAAGTAGATGGTGTAGTCAATGCCTCAGCCAATGAAATGACGACTGTATTGTCGCTACCCGAACAGCCTTCTATGAGATAATCTACATTTCCGGTAAATTGTAGGCTGATATCAGGAATACCACCTGTAATTTCCGAAATAAATACACCACTATCATAATTAGCATCACCGCGGTCAGCTACAGCAAGCTTAAGTTTATAGGTATTACATGGTATTACATTTGCCTTGGCGGTCAAAGTCTTCTTGATGCCCAACGAATCAGCCGTGAGTCCATCATATTGTATGCTTTGACCTATCTGATTGTTGCGGTAATACTGCCAATTGCTATGGTCATTCACACTATTTATTTCTACTGCAGTATTGGTACCGGGCAATATTGCAATGTTCTTTTTTGCTCCCAAGCCCGGATCGCCAACGATGCCCGGTCCGGACACCAAAAAGGCGAAAATGTCATTAAAAGCATTATCCGTAAACTCTGGATACTCCTCAGAACCAAACACATATTCAAAGGTGAGTTGATCCGTTGCAGCAAACACATCCAATTCTACTATACACGCATCTTCCGATTCCTGACCCGCAATACCCGAAATGATGTCCAAATCTGCATCTCCCGGAGCAGAATGTATAGTAGCGGCATTGCCGGTATCATTAGGACCGAGGGCATTCACTGCCGATCCACTCGTGAGGATCAGACCTTTTTTGGTGCCTGAATCGTTATTGTCTGTGGCAAACTTATAGGTGCCAATAGAACCTTCCGGACAATTCACATTCGTGACTGTTACTACGGCCAATGGTGATTCCAACGCATTTGCAATGGTATCAAAAGTAAAATTCTGGTCATTTATGACCATTGTCTCTTCGGGCGTACATGGGTCTCCACTACAGCTCCAATCTGCCTTGAAACCCTCAAATTCCGTACCGCCATCCGATTGAAATTGTAGCGTCATGCAACCACTAGGTGCTACCACCTTAAAGCACACCCCGCCTCCGGCAGAGGTGCCAAAGCCGCCACCAGAAATACTCGTCAGTTCAGGATCATTCACAGTAGGTCCATCAAAAAAAGTCAATGCATCGCCTCCTGCAAAATCTCCTCCTTCTATATTGAAATACTGCAATGTCACCGTCAAGCAACCCGTAGGTGCCGGTGGACATATCGTAAACACATAGTCTTCGTTGGCACTATAGTCGCCATCAGGACCTCCCGAATCATATAAGGTACCATTACACAACGATGAACTCCCTTGGTCAATCGTATTTATGGGCGGTATGGTGTCCACACACAAGTTAAATTCACCCCAATTGGGCGTGGCACTCGTGGAGTAATCCGATACGCGTATAAAATACTCCAATCCAGGCGTAAGCCCCTGCAAATCAATATATAATTCATTTTCACCAATGTCAGCAATCACACACGCATACAGCGCCATGCCATCAAATGTACAATCACCACGATAGATCGCAACCTGCGGATTCTCAATCGTATTGGCGCCAACACCAGTCAATGTAACCCTAAAGTTTACTTGGTCTAATGGACATGTAAATTTGAACCACACGTCACGCGTTGGAATACCACCATTGAAACAATCTGGATTGTTGTCAAATCCAATGTCTGTTGTTGTAGCATTCACATTGGTGAAAACTGTAGGCGGACAAGCTGGCGCGGTGCCCAAATCTATGGGTGGGCAATTGTCATTGACAGGTGCCTGTCCCCAAAGCGTTGCGCTAAAACCTGCAATTACCAACAAAAATAAAATTCTTTTCATGTTTTAAACTGTTTTAATTTTATGGAATGCCTAAAATAATTGTATTAAATAATATATTGAAAATCCTTATCCGTAACCTTCTGATGGGGCACTCGGCGGCGTACTTCCGGAGTTCCTGATGTTCACCAATTTTCGCAATGCATCAAACCAAAATGGAGCACCTAGTGATATTGCCATCGCTGTTGTAAACCATCCCAGCAGTTTCCTAGCCCAATCCACCGGCGAAAAATTGAATATATTTTCAGTATCCCAGCCCAAGCCAAGCGGTGCATCCACTTGCTCCATTATTTCCATTTCCTTCCCTCCATATACTGTCGGAGCCAATGGCACATTCTGCATCGGGCGCATAATTATCCTTCCCGACATATCCTTATCCTGCATATACATCATGGCGGCTTGCTCTACTTGCGCACGCGTTCCGGCATCTCGCGATAGCGTTTTGTATATATTCAAGGAGTCCACATTGAATATTAGGGCAATACAAGCACCTATCCCTATCAAATAATATTGCGTCTTCCGCTTGTACCAATCCGAAGTCCGCTCCATTACTTGGTTAAACCACATTTCAATATTCAGCTCAAATCGATGTACATCGCCCTGAGCTTCTTTCCACCAAAATGCCAAAAGTCGTTGCAATTCAGGGTCTTTTATATCTTCCAAAATATTCCCTCCTGCCTCCAACTTGTCATTTATGTGATAGGTATCAAAAAGTATCGCCCGAAATGTCTGCGGACT